ACATAAAATGGTTCTCTTCTCCATTTTTAACAAACTAAATGCCTGTGACAGCATGACTATCCCAAGTCCCCAGAGAGGTGAGAAAGAAGGCAGAAAGGGCTGATCGGACCAGCGTGTCCTTCCCTGGCATGGGCCGCCAGCCCAGGACTATGCTGTGTGTCCGTGGTGGCCTCGCACAGCCAGCTGACAGCCACGTCCAGGTCACCTTTCCCACTTCACCGCTGCACTCCTTGCCCAGCGGGTGCTTCCTGGTGGTGGTCTGACATAAGCTGCTGCCACTGGAAGGTCGTCCAGATGGGTGACCCAGGAAGACTGCCCGTCAGTGCCTCTCCGGGCAGGCTCTGGGCTATCCTCTGGTTTCCAGAGGAACCCCCTTCCTCGACCAGGCCCAGCCTCCAGTCTTCCTAACGGCTGGGCACAAAACAGGTCAGGGGCTGGAGCATTCCTGGCTGAGGGCAGTGAGGGGCTCTGTCCTCCAGCTCTCTTCCACAATGGTTGACAGTCATTTTTAGGGAACTTCTCAGGTGGGTGGCACCCTGGTGCTAACCAAAAGAACACTGGTTTAAACCTGCCAGCCAGCCACTCCATGGGGGAAAGATGTGGCAGTCTCCTTCCATAAAGATGACAGCTTTGGGGACCATGTGGGCAGTGCTGCTCTGTCCTGTAGGATCGCTGTGAGAAATCAACTTGACAGCAGTGGGTTTAGTTTTGGTTTGGTTTTTGCAGGTGGGTGGAGCCCTGGTGCTAATCAGAAGGATACTAGTTTGAATCTTCCAGCTTATACATTGTAAAAGTTCAACGTGACCCCACGCCTCCAGGAGGATCCTGGGCCGACTTCGCCACCAGTTCTGACTTTGCATAAGCTCACTCTAGTGAACACCCATTCCTGTGTGCAGTGCACTGGGAGCCTAGGCAGTAGGAGCCAGACAGATCTCTGCTCCCAGGGCCAGGATTGACCGAGGGCTCATCAGTGCTGGCTCAGTGCTGGGGGCACTGGAGGAAGGGGGTCCTGGAGGAGCTCACGCTGTGCTAGAGCCGCAGAGGAAGGACACAGACCCAGTGAGCTGACAGGTGGGGCAGGAAAACACACAGGGCGGGGTGGCGAGGAGGTAGTGGGTCAGGCCCTGAGGCTCATTCCTGCCAAGTGCATGAGTCAGGGAGTGTGGGCCTGCAAGCAATCCTGTAGCAGAGGATTTGCCCTGGGTTCTAAGCCTGTTGCTGAGAGGCCATGGATGGCTGTGAGCAGAGGAATAATGGGGCCTCCTCTCTGCTTTAAAAGGAGCTCTGGTGGCTCAATGCCTAAGGCATTTGACTGCTAACCAGAAGGTTGGCAGTTCAAACCCACTAGCTGCTTCATGGAAGGAAGAGGAAGTGATCTACTTCCACAGAGATTTATGGCCTTGGAAACCAAATGGGGGTCTCTATGAGTTGGAATTGCTTGATGGCAGTGACTGACTGACCTGACTCTCTACATTTAGAATGCTGACTCTGGGTGGAGACCGGGGCCATGGGCAGAGGGTGGGCAGCTGATGAGAGGGGCCTTTGGGATTTCATTGGGGATGGTGGTGGTCTGGAGCCACGGAGGGTGTGAGTATACACTACTTGTGAGTTTGAGGCCGCTCTGGGGATCAGCAGCAAGCAGGGAGAAGTGCTTGGTGAGTGAGTGAGTGACTGACTGGGTGAATGAATGACTGAACCAGTGAGTGAACAAGTGAGTGAATCAATGAATAAGTGAATGAGCAAGTGAACAAGAGTGAATGAACCAGTGAGCAAGTGAATAAGTGAGTGGGTGAATGAGTGAACCAGTGAGCAAGTGAGTGAGTGAATGAATGAGTGAGTGAATGAGTGAATGGGTGAACGAGTGAGTGAGTGAGTGAATGAATGAACCAGTGAGTGAGTGAATAACTGAGTGGGTGTGTGAATGAGTGAACCAGTGAGTGAGTGAATGAATGAGTGAGTGAGTGAACCAGTGAGTGAGTGAATGAGTGAAGGAATGAATGAGTGAGTGAGTGAGTATGTGAATAAGTGAGTGGGTACGTGAATGAGTGAACCAGTGAGTGAGTGAATGAATGAGTGAGTGAACCAGTGAGTGAGTGAGTGAATGAATGAGTGAGTGAACCAGTGAGTGAGTGAGTGAACCAGTAAGCGAGTGAGTGAACCAGTAGGGGGGTGAGTGAGTGAATGAGTGAATGAACCAGTGAGTGAGTGAATAAGTGAGTGGGTGAATGAATTAGTGAACGAGTGAGTAGGTGAATGAACAGGTGAACCAGTGATTGAGTGAAGAAGCACCTCCTGGACCTTGAGGGCTATGGCAGACTGACTAACTGGATGAGCTGGGAGACGTGGCATCTCTTGCCTGGTGGCGGCCTCTCACTCACGTGCCCACACTCAGGTGCCTTTAGTCAGGAGGGCCCCCGTGGTGCCCCTCTGCTGAGAGGACAGGTGCACTCAGTGGAGGGTAAACGCCTGTGACAGTATGCACTCCTGTATCAGGGCTAGGTGCTGGTCTGCTTCCTGCTTTTGTCAGCAAAGCCCCAAGCCTGCCGCACCTCCCCAACCTTCTCTCTTCTTTCCTGGCCCCATCCAGACTGGAGTTTCTTTGGGCTCCGGGTTCCTGTCAGCCCTCCTTCTGCGATGGCAAACACAAGGGCTGGGGTGCTTTCACAGTGTTTCTGTGTGTCTGGGCCTGTAGCCTGGGAGCTGGCTTTTTTTGTCAGGCAGGGCTGCTATGTCTCCTAAACCTGAACCTGGAGCGAGGGGCCTGCCTACTATCCCAGTGTTCTGGTTCCCTAGTGCCACTCTGACAAGAAATATATACCACAAATGGGATGGCCTTAACAAACAGGAGTTTATTCTTACAATTTGGAGGCTTTAAGTCCAAGTTCAAAGTGGCAGACTCTAGGGGCTGGGTAAAAGCCCCTCAGCCTTGAGGTCCAGCTTTGCCTCCTGCTCCCGGTCCACTGGAGCTAGAGGCGTTTCTTCACTCAGACAGCTGTTGGCTGCTGAGGCTGAGAAGCCCCAAGGTTGACAAGTAAAAAGGCACAGTCCCCATGTTACCAATCCACACAGCAGGCCATTAACTTAAGTCCACTGTAAGTCCCAAGGTCGGCAGAGCATAGCAGGCTGCTGAGCAACAACACAGCTACATGCAGGGTCCAAGCATGCCGAAGGCTAGAGATCATTCCCAAATCTCCTGCTTATATACAGGAAGCAGACCACATACCCAAAGGCAGCCACTCAGCTGCTCCCAGTAGATTCCACCATGGAGTTGATTACTAGTCTCATCATGGGGAGTACATCCAGCTGCCCAGCCACTCAACCAGGCCCAGCCAAGTTGACACACAAACATAACCATCACACCCAGCCATAGTCCTGGCTCTCATATGCTTGCCATCCCTTTTCCACATGGTGACTTTGTTGCGAGCTTTTAGCTGCACATCTGGCGGTGTGCAGTGTGCCGGCTGGGAGGGAGGCAGGTACAGCTGAATGGGATTCTTTCCAGATACTTCCAAGGTGGCTGTCGATTGGGTAGTTAAGTTGGGCCCTAGGAGGGCACTCTTTGCTGATAACATAGGATGGCTTTAACCCAAGGGAAGGGTTCACTGGAGCAGGCCTGCTCAAACCTGTACAGCTATAGGTTTTGCTCATCCTTCCGAGCCAGCCCTGATCTCCCACTCCCAGCCCAGCCCTTGGCACCCTAGCTGATGGCCAGCCCTGCCTTTCTCTACTATAGTCCTTTGTCTTCTTGGCTGTCTCCTCCATGCCATGAGAGCTTCCTGAGGACTGAGGTGGGCCCTTCTTCAGCCCTGTATCCTCAGGTAGCCCAGGGTTGGCACTTATCACCATTGTAAAGGTTCTGGAATAGTGCAGCTGGGCTGGGGACAGGCGAGCTGGTGCCAGGTGCTTGCCACCCTCTTACCTGGGTAGGACAGATGTTCCCTGGTCAGCCCTACCCTCATCTGTCAGGGCCTTAAAGCACCAGGACTGGGCTCCTGCCACTTCCTTCTCCTTGGCCTGTGAACCTGTATATCCCTGTTGTTTGGGAGGCTTGGGGCTCCTCCTGGAGCTGAGCGCTGGTTCCTCACTGTGTACCTGACCCCCAGCACGGTGCCTGCACATAAATATCGTCCCTACTGAGTGAATACATGAATGAGTCTTTGGAATCCTGGGGCATCATTTGGTTTTCACCAGGGGTCAGATCTGGGCTCTTGACATGGGCCTCCTGATCACAGATGACTTCTGGAATTCTCACACGCTTGTCACATGGAGCGGGTTTCTCAGACATGGGCTCTCCTGTGTGGGTGCTGGGCATAGGGATTGGGGTAAGCAGGGGGATGTTTACAGTGGAAAGGAAAACCGTTGTGTACCTTTGCTGCCCGAGGTGTTCAGGTGGAGCTGTTGGGTTGAGGACAAACAGAACTGAAGTGTCTGTTGGAGTTCGGAGAGAATGCTTGGGGTGGGGGCCGTGTTGGCATCACAGAGCAGCCTGTAGATCAGTGGCCAGCCCCCTGAGCTCTCCTAGAGGAGGAGGGAGTCCTCTGATACCTGAAAGGGAGGGTTCTGGGGGTTGACATGGGGCCTCTGTACTGCAAGTTCTTTCTCCACCAGGGGAGGTCCCCTTCTTGCCCAGCCCAGGCTGCGGGAGGCCTTATGTTCAGTGCAACATGGTGGGGTTAGCTCAGCTGTTTGCCCTCACACCTTCTGTGCTCTCAAATCGCTGATGTGGAAGAACCCTCTCGTGTCGGGAATCACGGGGCTTCCTGGTGTGTTTTCAAAGCCATTGACTTGATGGACTCCATAACTCACTGGAAACTTTGGACAGAGTCTAAGCCTAATTAGATGCCAACGTGTGTTCAGACTCTCTTCTCCTCTCCCTGGTCTGACCCTGGGAAAGAGCTGGTGCCCCTTGAATTCTGACTTTAGCGAGTGCTCAGTACAGAGCCGTGTGAAACCTGCTTCCATGACTTGAAGGAGTGAATAGCTTTTCTGGTTGTTTTCAGCACACGCCTGGGAAGATGAGTCAAGGACCCACCCTTTTCTCTTGTGGAGTTATGGGTAAGTAGCCAAGGTGTCTGTGTGCTCTACTATTCCGTCCTCCTGCAGTCCCCCACCAAGGCCCGAGCCTTCCCGGTGAGAGGCTGCGAGTACGGTCTGAGCTGCCGAGTGGTTTCTTCCGTGGGTGCTCACTGTCAGGATCATGGGAGGCAGGGGCACTCCCGGGGGCTGCTGGGCTGAGTGAGGCGAGGCTCCGGGCATGAGCAGGACAGAGTTCAATTCCAGCTGTCACATGGGTCGTTCTGATTGCTAAAATCTCTTGTCCTTATTTATTTATTATTACTACTATTTAGAAAGTGGACTGTAATATAAATTATGAACTAAAGTCTGCCATGGCTCCCCAGCACAGTGACAAAGCTGTGACTGTCATGTGTATTTCCATGTTCTGTCCTTTTCCTCACAGTTGAGATGCAGTGAGCATACAATCACATAAAAACATAGACAGTAAAACCTGAAAAAACCAGAACCTGGGAAAGGCAGAAACCTGTCAGAGAAGAAAAATGCAAATATTTTCCACTAAGAGAGAGCGATACAAAAGTGGGGAGACCACACCTGGGCAAAGGTGGGAAACCTGTGAGACCTAGAAAAACATGGCAGACATATCAGGTCCTGGCTTTCACAGATTTCACTGCGTGCATGTATGTGTATATATATGCACATACATGTGTGTGCACGTATACACACACATACACACACACCCTACATACACATGTATGCACACACGCGTGCATATATACAGATGTGTGTGTGTGTGTACGTACATGTACATATACATACACGGAGCTCTGGTGATGCAGAGCCTAAGGCATTTGACTGCTAACCAGGTTGGCAGTTCAAACCCACCAGCTGCTCTGTGGAAGTAAGACGGGGCAATCTGCTTCCATAAAGATTTACCACCTCAGAAACCCAGTGGGGATGCTGTGAGTTGTAATTGACTTGATGGCAGTGGGCTTTTTTTTTTTTTGGTATATATGTACATGTATATATGTATATAAATAGTATATGTGTATACATGTGTGTATGTGTACATATGTGTATATACGTGTATATAGAACATACATTGCAATCTACTTGCATATATTGTTGTTTTCCAGTTTTGTGGTGGTTACTATCACTTCTCCAAGAAGTCAAATTGTTCATTCCATCCGTTTTCATGAGTTTATAATACTGCATCATATGGATGCATCAAAATGCATTTAATGATTTCAGTTTCTTGCTTGTTGGGTGGAGTGGCTCTGTCATAATTAACAGCGACTCCCAAAGTGTGTCTTTATCTGCTTTGGGGTTATTCTTTGGGATGGTCCCTGAAGTCAGACAGAAAGGCTGGAGGGCATGACCCAGGACCCTTTTGAAGACTCTTGATTCTCATTGCTGGGGCTTTCCTGTTGCTGTGTGAGTGTGAATTACTGTTGTTTTTAAGGGAGAGAGAGGGGACCCTACTGACCATATTGATTTCTTCCTGCTCCAGGTGAGGGGGACAGTTTCTCCTTTTGTTGCCCCTCCATGAGGTCAGGCAGGACCCCTGAATCTCTTGGCACCCTTTGGGGACACCTGGCCAAAGGACTTTGTGTAATGCCCCCCATTGGATCTGAGACCAGACTTGGGTGATGGCTAGCCACTCGGGCTTTCTACTGCCATCTCCCCCATCAGACCATAGGCAGCCTTCCTCGCCTCTGGGCGCAGTGTTTGCTCTTTCTCCTCTAGACTCAGTGCCTGGCTGTGGCTGAGGTGATGGTGATGAACTGGGCTCTGCATGAGCGTCTCCAGTGCACGATCCACTGACCCCCCCAGGAGCTCCAGGGTAGTGGGGCACTCTGTTCACTTATGGGGACCAGCCCTGTGGTCACATATGTATTTACGTGTATGGATCCCGGTAGATCTCCATCATGCCCAGCCCAGGGAGAGAGCCCTGGATGTGCTCTTGAATCTGCCACCAGAGGCAGGGGAAGCGAGCGCTCCCCTGGCCTTGGTTTACCATGTGACATACTTCTGAGGCTGTCCCCACGTGTGGCTGCATGAACACCTCCTGGGGATTAACACCTTTCAGTAAACCACGTGGCCCAAGCTTGCCCTGTCCCTTGCCCTGTTGCAGGCTTCCTGGGCCCCTTGTGTGGTTGAGCTGTTGTCACGCCCAGGAAGGGGCATGCCCTTGGGCATGCCTGCCCTGCACGGCCTGGGGCTTAGCTCTGCCCTGGGCTTTGGAGGGTTTGCTCTTTATCCCAGGGCTGTCCGTGGGCAGGCTTCCTTGGCTCTTCCTCATAGATGGCAGATAGGGCTCCTCTGGGTTTGCTGTGGGCAGCGTCAGGGCCCACAGAGCCCCTCTGAGAGGATTTCCTGACTCTTGTAAGCCTCAGTCTCTCATCTGGAGGGGCCGTTTGTGTAGTCCTCTGTAGACTTGCTGTGAGGAGTGAGAGGTTGTGTGAGTAAAGGGTTGGCTCAGAGTGAGTGCTGCATACATCACAGGTTAAAAGAGGACTGAGGCCTAAACTAAGAACTCTGTTGAAGCTCACATGAAGGGCACTGTGGTATCCTCTGGTTATTGTTGCAGGTGACAGCGTCCTCCTTGTGGAGGCAGATAGGAGGCCCCTGGGAAGGGCACCCTGGGGGGAGACACTCTCCTCAGACTTGTGCTCCGAGCTGGCCTGACCTGTGGAGCCCAGGGCCTGCCTCCTGTGCATGCCTTCTCTGGCCTCAGGATCCCTCCCAGACCCCAGGGCCTCAGCCACATGCACCTTCCTTCCTCTTCTCTGCGGGGCAGTGCCAGGACTGCCCTCGGGGCAGGAGATGCTGGCTCAGGCGGTCGGGAGCCCGCTCCCCTTCCCCTCAGCTTCTTCCACCCTGCTCCTCAGCTGATGAAACCTGACCCACCTGACAGCGGGTTCTTCGTTCACCACACTGCATCTGAGTGTCGTGCTCTAATAACTGCTTACTGAGCACCTACTGGGTGTCAGACGCTTGGTGCAGGCACAGGGAGAGAGTCAGACCAGCCCTGGCCTCCAGGAAGGTTCTGTCCAGCGGGGGAGCTAGGACGATGCACAGCTAATTCTCCTGCATTAGGCCACAACGTGTCAACACTGAGGGTCCTGAGAGCAATGGGCAAGTCACCCCTGCTTCCTTAGCCTCAGTTTCCTCATCTTGACGACACAGTGTCTGCCTGTGGGGGTTTAAAGAGACAGCAGCACCCAGGTAGCACCCTGCTCAGCCCTCTAGCCCTAGCCCTCCCACCAGCCTCCATGTGTCCTGCCAGCACTCCAGGTGGGGGCTCAGCTTACCTCCCCAGCCCACGTAGCCCCGGAATGGAGGTTTGGGGACCCCACCCTGTGCAGTGAACTGTGAGTACACCTCAGACAGTGAGGTTGACTCTCAGGTGATGACAGGGAGGACACGAATTCCTTGTGAGCCTGGTGGGACTTTTAGAGGACTTTGGGCCTCTCCAAGGACAGATGATACCCTGCCAAGGTAAAAAGTCATATTACTATAATCACCACATGCCCTCCTTGATCCCTGGAGATAAAGGACAAGCTTTCTGGCCTGATCATGGGACAGCTTGGCCCTGTGACTTGGGCTTAGCTTTGCTCCTGAGTCCATACAAGGAGACCTCCTGAGTCCATACAAGGAGACCTCCCAGTTCAAGTCTCAAAATCCCTAAGAAAATCCAGGCGGTACTTCTTATGTTGTTCAGGTGGCCCAGCCTTCCCTGTAGGACTGAGATAAAGCTGCCACTCCTGTTCTCCAGTGCTCCCAACAGTAAGCTTTTCTTAAGTACTTGGAGCTGTGTCCACAGGCCTTCCCTGCTGCCATCCTCTACGTGCTTGGGAACTTGATAGAAAGAAGCATGTTTGCTCCTTTCCAAAAGGTGAGAGGGAACAGAGCAGGTCCAAGCCAAGATGTGGATGGAAGAAGTGGGCAGAGAGGAGCAGAGCTGCCACCAGCCTGCCCCACTGGGACCAAGGCCCTTCCCAGGGCACCTATCCTCAACCTCCTGGTTTCCCTTCTCACCCCTGGGCTGTTCTCAGCAGCACATCTTCTGCTCTAAACCAAACCGAACTCACTGTCCTCGAGTCAGCTCTGACTCACAGCACCTCCCACTGGGTTTCTGAGGCGGTAGATCTTTACGGAAGTACATTGCCCCATCTTCCTTCCATGGAGGAGCTAGTGGGTCTGAACCACCAGCCTTCTGGTTAGCAGTCTGATACCTTAGGCACTATGCCCCCAGAGCTCCTTATCTTCCTCTGATGAACTGGAATTTCCTTAACAAACAGCCTTCCTGGACTGACCAATCCCTGTGTGCTCACCTCAGGAAACGGCATGCAGGTGGCACCTACTTAGGCGTGGCTGCCTAGTGCTCAGCTGCCAGGCCATTGAACTGTCCCCAGTTCCTGGTCTTTGGTTTCTGGTGGGTGCTAACAGGCTTCAGCCGGCGGAGAGAACCATTCTGGTGGGGAATGATGGGCCACTCATGAATCTTGGGGCCATAGTCCCCTCGGGGTCCCGCATTTGCATAGTGGATGCTTCTCTGGGCTGAGTTGGGGTCACACGCACTTGCTTAATCTTCTTTCATGAAACAGGGCAAGTGGGGTGGGAGCAGGCTTCATTCACTCCCCTGGCTAATTGCAGCCGTTCAAAGCACTCTGTACTGTGGGGACAATGGACACTACACATTTCCATTCTTCTCACCACTCAGAGCTGAGGAGAAGACCTGGAAATCAGATCATACGTGAGAGCGAGTGCAATCCTAATTATTTCAAAAGGCCACTAGGAAAAGTCTTGTAAAGACAAGTCCGTGGGCAGAGAACAAAACAATTCATATGCTAAAAAAAATTGGATGGGAACCCGTAATTACTTTAGGAGTTATGGTAATAAATTATTTATTAATGTAAATGACTTCACAGGCATAGAACATAGAGGAAACTTGAGCAGAAGGATCATACATTATGTATAAAAAGGAATTGTAAAAATATTACAGCGACCCTCCTTGTGTCACTCGCTCAGGTTCGTCA